CAAACACCTGAAGTTACCCATCCCCGCGTGGGCAAAAGTCAACCCAAAAGGGATTGGCCCAAAGCAAGGCCTGAAAGCCCGCCATAAGACTAAAGCACCTTCTGGCCGGGACCCATGGAAAAGGGTCAGAAATGGCCAGACAAATCTGGGAGGAAAAGAGCAAAATCAAAATCAATATAAACACTGCCATAGTCACCCTCTGTGCAGGTATCTCACCCACATCTGCCTTAACCAGTCCAGGATCAGGAAACAAGCATGGTTTCTTCATCACATGCTTGATGCTCCATGTGGCTTCCTCAGGTCTCCTTTTTGTTCTCCTTCCTGCTTCCTTCCTTTCTTCTCTCTTGATTCCTTCTCTTCTCTCCTTTTTCTCTGCTCAGCTGCACCCTCCTTCTGGGTGGGGCAGGGAACCTGGAACTTCCCCTTTTCCTAGGGACCACCCTGTTACAATACCACATGGACTGGCAGAGCTGAGTGGATGGTGTCATCCCAAACCATTTGTTACAAAGAGCAGGGTTACTGTTCACCAGGTAATTGTCATACTTCATTTCATTCATTGTGCACAACAGTGATAGAGAAAGAACTGTTGTTGGCCCTGTTTTATAGAAGATCAAGCAAAGGTACAGATACTTGGGTTGATGTAGACAGCTCGCAAGTGGCAGAGCTCAGAGTTAAACCCAAGCTATCTGACTTGAGTCTATGATCTACCATGTGCTCCTCCCTAGAGAATGGCCTAAGGGCATGCAGACAATTGGAAATTATAATTTGTGTAACTGTATGCTTATATGTATACATAGATAAGCCAAAAATTTAAATAAAGAGGCAGTCATAAAAGCCTTTCCCTAATTGGGGTAATAGAGGACAAAGCTGAGAATACTGCAGGACCGGCACTACCTCTGGAGAAAGGAAGAATTGCTTTTTCTTGCACATCTTGATGTCCTGTTTGAACATTTTTTTCATTGTATGTACTTCCTCTCTTAAAAAAAAAATTGTATTGAAAAATCTGTATGTTGCTATTGGGTCACTAAGTATTTGAAATTTACTGAATCATACTTATAAAAAATTAAAATTGAGTAAACACAATCCCATGGGACAGAGACCTATCACATGCATGGCAGGGGAGCCTGGAGACATGGCTCTTTGCAGGGCAGGAGAGAGGCCATCGCTGGGGGTATCTGACTTTCTCAGTCCCTAAAAGCAAAACCATTCAACCATCCTTTCTCATTTTCACTTTCAGCTAAAAACCCAGCTAAAGCCATAGGACTTGCCTCTGTTTATTAAGTCAGTGAAAGAATGGATGATCTCACTTTCAGGTGGGTCTTGAAGTGTTGTATGCAAAACAAAACCTGAGTAAATGGATTCATATTTTAAATACTCTAGCAAAGGACTGTGTTTCAGCAATTCCAGAGATCTTTGCAAAGCAAAGAAGCTGATTGTGATGCTAACAGAGTATTTTGTAAATAAATAAAAAAAAAAAAACCTTTTGGTGCTGGTATAAGGGTCCTACTTTCAGTCTGGCCCCAATCTTCAGAGCTGAGTGTCTGGAAGACTAGTGGGGCAGTCTCATCTACAGACCATTTGCATTTGCATGAAACCAAGGACTCTCCTGAAGAGATATCACTGTGAGGGCGGAGAGAGCCTGTAGAAACTCAACCCACGAAGAAAGGCTGGGGCATTGAAAGAGATACCTGATTCAGAACCTAAAGCTCAATCTGCATTAGTAGATTTCTTCTCTGCAGCATCTGGAACCACACAGCAGGACGGAGCTATGAACAAGAGCTCCAGAAAATGCCACAAGGTTCTTCTTTAACATCCCATCACAAAGGTAAGTAGTATTCTCTACCTTTCTGCCCTGAGTTAAATGAGCTTCAGTAACTTGAGGTACCAGCAAGATACAGCACCTGCCCAGGCTACTGGGGGCTCCCAAACTAAAACAGCCCTACTGCCTGCGATGGGAACAGCACCTGCAGCATGAGACAACCCTCTTGGTACAGAGATCAAAGTCTTCACCAGGAAGGTCCTCAAGAAGCCACTAGGGAGAGAGCAGGGCTGTAGCTGACCTTGCTGGAGTGGATTGGGGCAAATGAGGGAGAAATGGCAGATAACACATGGCAGCAAAAAGGAGTCACTTCAGTCTGCCTGATTGCATCTGGAGACTCCCAGAAAGAACTGTGCAAGACCTGTGGCAGTCAGGCAGTTCTGCAACAGCTAGTCATGACAAGAGCCAGGAAAGAAAAATACTGGAAGATTTGTAGTATCAGTTTATTTCTGACCCCAGGCTGGTAGGCTGTGGTATGGTCTGAGGGAACTCAGGTGAGAGCATCTCAGGGTTTTCTTTTTTCTTTTTACAAATATAAATAAGCTGTAAAACTAAATCCTAGCCTTACTTTTGGTTAAAAAAAAAAAAAAAAAAAACTAAATCCTAGCCTGTTAATCTGGTAATTGGAGTATTTTTTAAATCAAAGCTTATCCTGCTTTGTTAAACTTTGGGTATGACTTCAGCTTTACATTCTTTCTCAAGACATACCAGAGTGCTGAGTCACTTAAAAAAAAAAAGAAAGTGTAAAGGAAGAGTGATCCTGCTTCTAAGGACTAGCCTTGGTAATGACCTAAGAGCACTTTCCCCATTTAAATTTGTGATGTTAAAAGGACGTCACATTGCACAATCTTAATAAGGTTTCCAATCAGCCCCACCCTCCCTGGCCCCACCCCCCTTCTTACAAAGATTTATCAAATGTGGGATTTTCCCATGAGTCTCAATATTAGAGTCTCACCCCCAATAAATATGAGCCTGGAGATGTCTTGAGGCTCAGTCAGCCTTTGAGCCCACCAGGAACGAAAGAGAGCTCCATCTGCCCTCCAGGAACCAGCTATGAGCTTCCTCTCCACAAGTAAGTGAAGGAAATCCCTTGGCCCTGAACTGCCTGGCTGGGGCGCTGGCTGAGGGAGGGGGTGTGTGCGCGGCTGTGAGACTGGCAGGCGGCCAGCAACCAGAAGCACAGCTCCCCCAGCTGTACAGTCCGGCTCACTGGCTGCTCTTCCTTCCCTCCGGCACAGGCGTCTTCAGCCCAATTGCCTTCTCCCTGGGGCTACTCCTGGTGATGGCTACTGCTTTTCCCACTCCAACACCCCTGGGAGAAGATTCCAAAGATGTTACCCTAAACAGATTACCATTCACCTCTTCAAACAAAACCGAAGAACTAATTAAGTACATCCTCATCAAAATCTCTGCTCTGAAAAATGAGGTAGGTAGGTTTAACTAAGGGTGAGGAAGGACCTATGTGGACATTCCTCTTCTTGCCCTTCAATGTGGGGTTTCTACACTGGAGGGTGAGGGGAGATGGAATGTTCCAGGGCAGTCTTGGTTTGAGGTCATAGGGGCAGACTGGCTTCTGTATTTCCTCTCTGCTGCTGGTCTCAGAGAGTTCCTCTGGAAATACATCTCAGAAAGACACCCCTAGAAAATACAGAATGGGACTGAAATCTAGGCCCCTGGCTCATACATTCCAAACTCTTTACCTGGCATGAGCTAGGGTCATTGGCTCTCAGGAGTCCCTTTTCCCTAATTAAAAATGAGGTCCTCAATCTTCTTTTGTCCCTTGGACTTTAGGAGAGTTAGAGAATTACCATCTGAACTGAATTTTCAGCTTGTCAGGTATTATTAGGTGATATGTGGTCAACAGAGACTCCCCAAAGTCATTTCAGCATAAAAGATACATACGTGATAGCCCACCAAAGTGGCAAAATCATAGGTAGATTAGAGCAACTCCCAATGCAAAATACTTTAAATGCAATAGTAGTTCAATTCTGTTTGGTAGAAAGGGAAAAACACAAGAGAGGGCCTAGAAGCTTTAAATCTGGTTCTGGTTCTGCAGAACCAGATTTGTGGTCTTGGTTACATTTCCTACTACCTCTGGGTTGCTGCTATAAAATTAAGGGATGAGGCTACATGGTTTCACAGGTTCTTCCAGCTGGGACATTCTATAGCTTGAATTATATTCACCCAGTTGTCATCAAAATTAGTGTCAATGGTTAAACCTACTATATGTCAGGTACTTTATATAAATTTTATGTCTCACCCTCACAACAACTTGCAAAGCAGCTGTTTCATTATCCCCAATTTGGAGAGATAGGCACAATGAGAGTCAGGATAGTAACTAGCCTGAAGTCACAGCTGAGGTTAGAGCTGAATCCAAGTGTGTCCAGATCCACTAGCCCTTGCTAGCCTGGATCTTAGTAGGTAGTGACTTCAAATTTCTTAGAGAACTTCTTGGCCGAGGTAAAACAAGAACAGGCCCTCTAGTGGTATTTATTTCAGGGGCACTTGTAACAATTCTGCTGTTCCTTCCTAGATGTGTAAGAAGTATGACAAGTGTGACAATAACAAGGAGGCACTGGCAGAAAACAATCTGAACCTTCCAAAAATGACAGCAAAAGATGGGTGCTTTCAATCTGGATTCAATAAGGTACAAAATCATCACCTTTACTTTTAGCTATTCCTTAAGCAAAAGTTCTCCCTCTTACATGCAGTACCTATGCACTTAGACAAGGCAAACAACAAATGGGAAACAGATGTACCAAACCTCATGTAGATTTCATGAAGCAGCCAACTTAAAGCTTTTGAAAGGCTATTTACCTTTGAATAACATAGTCATAACCCCCTACATTAGGATTTTCACCACTGTCACAGTTGTGTCCCCAGAGGGGAAATGGCCCAGGGAACTTTCCCATTCTAGGGGCTTTGACTACCTTCAGCAGGGTCCAAACCTGCCCTCCAGGGTGAGGTCATTCTCTGTGCCCTTTCCCAGTGAGATAACCTGTGCTGGCTCCTGATAATTCTATATAAGGATGTTTTCCAATACTGACAAGGACAGGAGTACAGCTGAGGCAGAAAAGTTAGGGCAGAACAGTAGAAGGCCAGACCTCTTGCCAAGTTGTGGCATCCATTGAGTTTGGGGTAAAATTAATTAAGTGGCCTCCCTGGTTATCCAGATACTTAAAATGGGGCAGCCAGTGTTATCTGGTTTGTCTGAGAAGTACTTCCAGTTTCCTAGAACGGTAAAGAAAGTTGTTGGATTATGGCAATTTTAGCTTTAAAAACAGTAATTTCTCCATGGCAATAACCAATTTTTCCCACAATCTTCCTTCTTAGGAGACCTGCCTGATAAGAATCACCACCGGTCTTTTGGATTTTCAGATATATCTGGAGTACCTTCAGTATAAATTTGAAGGTGATAAAGAAAATGCTGAGGCTGTGCTGGACAGTACTAAAGCCCTGAGCCAGATTCTGAGGCAAAAGGTGAGAGTGCCCTCATCCCCTCATGTGGCATGAGAATAAAGTCTCAAAGGAAGTAGTCTAGACAGCTTGGGAGTGCAAAGCTGATTCAACAGAGTTTGTCACATGTAAATGAAAGGGCCTGAGAAACATTTCCTAATAGTTTAATTTTTTTCTCTCTCTCTCTGCAAAACAGATCAATACTGTACTTTAAACTCTGTTAAAGGAGGTAGATTTTAACATCAACTTCTAATAGTTTAAAAAAAAAAGCTGTTGTCACAGATAAAAGCAAGCACATTCAGCCCTGTTCTCTGTAACTGAAAATAGAAAGCACAAAAAATGGTTTATTATTGTCAAGAGACATTCTTATCATTATGATAGTGTTAACTCTCTCCCCAACTTTTTGCTGCAAGAGTTAATACAGAGAAATGGCTAAAGGCTAGGAGAGCAGGTAGCAAGGGCTTTGGTCACAACCAGCTAGTAGCCACCCAAATGCTACATAGTGGAGGATTGATGGCACAGCCATCAAGTGATGGCACATCTGGTTCTGAAATAGAGAACAATGAGAAGGACCCTGCAAAGAAAAGCAGACAGAATGCTAATCCTGCCTCCTCCTTTCTGCTGTGTGCTTTAAACTCAAGCTTCTCCCACTATAATGTGCACAGCTTGTTAGAATACCGAGTCACTAGGTAGATCTGGAGTGAGATCTGTGACTCAAATGTCTGTTGCTAGTGCAACAGGGCTCTGGACCCACTTCTACAATTACGTCTCCCCTTGTCAGAAGCTCAATGAAAAGGTGTTTCCCAGTCATCTTTATACCACTAGATCAGGGGACTTTCAATAGATGATAGGTGGAGAGGTGAGAGCAAAACCAGAGAAAAATATTAGTGTTAGTGGTCACAATAGAACCATTAACTCTAGGTTCTTCATTCAGCTATTGAATACCTGCCATGTTCCAGGCACTTCTTAGGGTAAAAGAATAGAAGACACTGTAACAATGTGGCTGACTTCAAGATGCTTATGGTCTAGTAGAAACAGAGCAGCAAGAGATAGATTAGAATTCAGTTGTAGATCCTCTCTGGTGGTGCAACAAGTTAAAAGCGCAGCACTATGAAGGTATCCACAGCCTCTGTAGCATGAGTTTGATTCCCCACTAAGGAGGTGATCTCTTCTGACCCACCCACGGCTCCCCTCAGCATTGTATTTCAATCAATCAGCCTATCCTGTTCCCCACTCTGTCTCTGGTGAATCCTTTCATCTTCCATACCTCTGGCCTGTAACCTAGATCTTGTATGCATAAATAAATAAATCTTTAAAAAAGAGAGAGAGAGAGAGAGAGAGAGAGAATTCAATTGTTATGAAGGGCCCCATGCAGAGTGTGCTTAGAAGAGAAATACCTCCCCTAAAATGGGAAAGTCAAGATAGGTGGTCCCATTTAGTACCCAGCACCCATAATTAACAACTTCCCACAGACCACAGCATCCCTACAAAGGAGTTGTTCAATATTTAATTACCTTTTTGTTTTCTTTCCCCTTCAGGTGAAGAATCCAGATGCTCTCACAAACCCTAACCCAACTGCAAATGCCAGGCTGCTAGATGAACTAAAGTCACAGAACGAATGGTTGAAAAACACAACAATTCACCTCACCCTACAAAGTCTTGAAGATTTCCTGCAGTTCGGCCTGAGAGCTATTCGGATAATGTAGCCTGGGCATCTAGAATTGTTGTAATTCATGGGCATTCCCTTTTCAGAAGTTATGTCCACTGGGCACATAACTGATCCTGTTCTCTATGAGGAACTAAAAGTATGAGCATTAGGACACTATTTTAATTATTTTAATTTATTTATATTTAAATATGTAATGTTGGGTTAATTTATACATAGAAGATATTTATATTTTTATGAAGTGCCTCTTGAAATATTTTAACTATTAGTTTTTTTAAATAACAAAAAAGGGATACACAGTTTGAATATTCTTGTTTCAGAACCAGATCATTTCTTGAAATGTGTGGGCTTACCTCAAAAAAGTTGTTAACTTATACATATTTTTAAAGAAATATTTATATTGTATTTATATGTTTAAATTGTTTTTATACCAATAAATATCTTTGTAAAAAAAAATCATCGGCTAAGGCTATGTCTATGTCTATGTCTATGTCTATGTCTATGTCTATGTCTATGTCTATGAAGCTTCATTTAAACAAGTTTCTTTTCACCACTACCACCACCAAAAATAAATTGTACTATCACTTGCAGAAAAATACCATTGATCAAGTACTGTGTGCATGCTACAAGTCTGACATCCATCATATCATTTAATCCTTTATCCTGCACACTCTTTAAGGGATGTGAGAGATTAAGTGATTTACTTAAGTCACCCAGTTGGAAGGTAAGGCACAGATTCAGATTTGAAATCAGGTCTACCTGCCTCCAGGCTTCTATTCTAAACACTGCCTCCAAAAGAACTGAGAGATGATGTAGAAATATCTTAATGCACACTAATACAGGGAAGACATTTAAAAGTGAAATCATAAGATGATGGTATCTTTTATATGACACAGTAATGTGTAAGCTTCCAAATAATAACTCAAAGTTCACTTCCCTGCTCTAGGCTTCACAAACACCACACATAGCAACTATTATAGATGATGTCACAATCTAAACTTGGTGGATTCTCCTTTCCAGTCAGCATATGGGTTCTTCAAAAAAGCAGAATTCATGATATTCATCTTTGCATCTGGGACCCAAGTTCCCAATAAACAGCTCTTAAATAAAGCAAGCATACATACATCACAAAATGTAAGATACTTCAATTCTTGGAGATATATGGTGGTCAATGAGGAGATAAATTATAAATACTATGTATCTTTATCTTATGGAAAAACAGCAAGGAGTTAGACACATCTAAGCATTTCTAGAGAAGGCACTGAATAGTTGCTATTGATATGTTTACCACCATTTCCTTTCATCCAGGAATTTTCTTCCAGCCTCTCTCCTGGCCACCTCAAGAGTACTGAAAGAGGCAAACTGGGTAAGTGTACACAGCTACCTCATCTCAATACAATGTTGGAAATTTAATAGAGTTCCCCTTTTTAACCTCAACAATAGAAGTTCTGTCTTCTAACAAAGCTTTTCCCATTCTAACCACCACAGACTAATTCTAAAAGAGAGGGGATCTGTCAAGCAAGGGGAAGTCCACAGAGGTCAAGAACTGAGAGAAGCATCACAAAAAAAATAGTCACATACTCTGATTTCTAGGAATCATGCACCACAAGTGGGCTTCCCAAAATTAGAGCCAAATCAAAGAGAAAGAGAAATAGCCGTCAGTGATGTATCCATTCTTTTAAAAATGTGCATGATTTATAAGTCAGTTAGTAGTCCTGGCCTTCAGGTGATTTGCACTATGACTTGGAAGATGGACATTGAACAAAAAATGTAAGTGCGATGAGGTTTACAGAAGAGAAATATGAAATATCCTGAAAATAGGTTGCCAAAAGCAGGAGAACTGACTTAGGCTAGGGAAGGTAGTCATGAAGGCTTCTTTGAGAGAGAGATTTGGGCTGAGATGTAAAGGATATGTAGGTGTGAGCTAGGCAAAATGAGTAGGAAAGGTATTCCAGACAGAGGTAATGCATGTGCAAAGGTCTAAACCAATGTAGGGCACACTGTGATTGAGACAGTTTGTACATTTGTCCAGTACATGAAGAACAAAAAGAAGAATGGCTAAAGAGGGGTGGAGAAGGAGGCAGGGACCACAGATCATTCATGGCATCATGGATCATTTTAACTTACTTGTTAATTATCCCACGTGGTAAGTATTAACACATTTTTAGTAGAAAAACATGAAATATACATTTTAACGTGATCAGTGGAGTTGCAGTATGGAGAATAGCTGGGGAAAAAAAGCTATAGGAGAATAATGGAGGAACATTCCAGAAATTCAAGGGGGAAGACAATATCCTGAATGGGTAAAGGTTAGAGAAGGTAATGGCAACCATAAATAAAAGGCACTAGGAACTAATTCAGTGGTATTTTGTTATTGGTGATCAAAATTCAAGAATTCCCAGAGGAAAGGAGGTTTTGAGAGGGGGTGGGGAGAGGGAGGGTTTGTATGGAACAGTAAAGCACAGAGAATGTTGGATTTGAGAGTATCAGTCATTCAAATATTCTCTGAACATCTGCAATGTTACAGGTTCTCTGTTGAGTGCTAGTAATTAATGGTGAGTCAGACAAACTAGGTCTCTGTTGTGAAGATTTCAGACTGCAGAAAACAATTTAAAGAAGTAACTACTACCCACTATGCTAAATATGTGCAACACTGTTATCAATTAAATTGCATCGATTACATGAAGTCCTAGCCATTACCTGTGAGCATGACCTTATTTCTAAATAAGAAATTTGCAGATGTATTCAAAATAAGATCAATTCATTAGGGTGGGCCTTACAAGAAAGAGAAGAAACAAGAGAGACACACAGGGAAGTAATCCAGGTTGAAAAAGAAGGAGGAGAGGCAGATATTGAAGGGATAAAGCTACAGACTAAGGATTTCTGACAAATACCAGAAGTAGAATGAGGTAAGAAGACTCCTCCCCTATATCCTTTAGAGAGAGCATGTTTACACCTTGATTTCAGACATCTAAGCTTCAAAGCTATTGTTTTAATTACCATTGTGGTAATTTGTTAAAGCTGCTCTAGGAATCTATGCAGCTACTATGGCAGCACGTAATAGTGGAGTCTAACCTAAAATAGAAGGTTCATGAGAAGCTTCCCAAAAGAAATTCTATTTATGTTTACATCAAATGTATGCCTGGCGCAGCGCAAGTTGGAGAGTCAGAGGAGGTGTTCCACCTGGTGAGTACAGCAAGTGCAAAGGTTCAGATGCAGGAGAGAACGTACTGGAGAAACTGAAGGAATCCCGACGACTAAAGCATGAAGTGGGAAGTAGCAGAAGTGAACTGAAGCAGTAGGGTCTAAAGTATACAGATCATAAAGAATAGATCAAATGAAATAGGTGAAATAAGAGAAAGAGAAAGAACAGCTTTCTTGGAAAGAATTTTTGATCTGGGGCTTTTAGTTCGGTTGGTTGGTTGGTTGGTTTTGTTTTTAAAATAGAAAAGGATTTTCCAGTTCCTTCAGATGGAATGGAGTAAGGCGATTGGGCCCCAAATGTAGTTTACAGGAGATCCAATTTTCTGTTGCACATTCCAGCAAGAGGGCAGACAGCAACAGGATATGGAGAGAGAAAAACAAACAAAAAGAAAACAGTTAGGAGCACTTGTGGCAGATGTGATTTACAAACTTCAGTGTGATATCTAGTCACTGAGAATGTTACTTCTTACTCATAAAATTACCATGACCTTTCTTGGCAAACATAAAGCAAACATGTCATTCTTGTGCTAACTCAGCTCTGGAGTTAAGGGAGTTCATATCTACCTTTAAGGATAAAATGGACAAGAGAAGCTTGGAAACACAGGAAGATTCAGAGAAGTAATCAAAGAGAAACCAAAGGTAAAAGTTCTGAAAGGTGACAGTCAACAATCATGACTGGGAAGACCCCACCAAGAAAAACAAGAATACTCAGGATGATTTGGGAAGGTTTATGTTCCCTAAAGTGGGCATGAGATAGACAAACTGACTACTATGTTTACTAAAGGAAAGGATTATCTTCAAAGGCTAGGGACTGAGGACACTTAGGTTACACTATGTAAATGACCCAAAAAAATCTGCTGAGAGAAAACTGATAGGGAAAGCAATTCAGATCCACCCTGATAAAACTTGAGTTAGTTATGGGCTAAGAGTGGGAAGGAAAAGATAAATTAGCCCACTTGCTCTCAGAATAAACTAATAATAAAAATATAACTAACTTTTCCAGAACACTTTTGTATCCCAAGCACAGTTCAGTGTAGTATTTCAGAGCCATCTGTATTAACCAAAGGAGCAAAGTCAAAGCAACTTGTGCAAAGTCACCAAGTCTGTAAATGCCACAGCAAAGTGCTGGCTATCCTCTCAATCCATTCTACTCTTCTTCCAAAGTTACAGAGTTTGAGGCCACTCCTCTAACAGGTATATTTCTTATTTCTATTGTAGCAAGTAGGTGTGGCTATGCTGAATAAGGGTACATAAGCAGAGCTCCAACTGGTATCCTTAGAAAACCCTACTTATAAGCTTGGTCCTTGGCTGTCATCCAGAAATTTGAATGTAAACAGTTACCCACACCTATCTAAACTTTCCTCCAAATAATAAGAGTGCTTAAACCGTTCTAACAATATGGTTTATACTAATCACCTACTTTCCTTCTGAAATCTTAAATGTTAATACTTATAAATCAATATAAATTTTGGGTACTAAGTTGCTAATGAACTTCCCCAGTGGACACATGTTCTCGCAGCTCACTACTGGAGGGATTGAGCACATCCTGTGTGCCTCCCTTGGGAAAGGACTCCTAGGAGTTTGTGCGTGCTTTCCTGCAGAATTCACCCCATGTGTCCTTTCTCTTTGCTGAGTTTGCTTTGCATCTTTTTACTGTAATAAATCTCAGCCAGAGTAAGAATCCTGTGACTCATATACACTGAGTCCTGTGAGTCCTCCTATTAAATCACCAAAACTTGAGGGTAGTCCTGGAAACCCCTGACACAGTGGCTATTTTTACCAATGAAACTTAAGTAGACTTGCTATTGTAATTTTATTTACACTTGCTAAAAAAAG